ATTTGAGCACAGCTTTAGGAAGATCAGTCTAATATGATATGTGGATGGAGGTGACATGGGAAGAAGGGAATGATGGTGAGGAAAACCCAACTACTAGGTTGACGTAATAGACTAGGCAGCTAGGATGGGGCAATGAAAGAAAAGAATCTTTATGAAAACATTTATTTGGCAACTGTTAGATTAGAAATCACCCGAAAAAAAAAAAGGAAGAAATCAAATGGTGACTTTAGAGTTCTAAGTCAAGATGGTATGGTAGACTGAATAATAACATCCCCCTCCCCTACAATATGTCACGTCCTAATCCCTGGAACCCCTGAATGTTACCTTATATGGCAAAAGTGACTTTGCAGGTATGATTAAGTTAAGGATCTTGAGATAGGGAGATTATTCTGGATTATCCAGGTGGGCCTGATATAATCACAACAGTCTTTATTAGAGCGATGCTGGAGTCAGAGGCAGAAGAGAAGGTGACGTGACGACAGAAGCAGAGATCAGAGGGATGCACTCTGATGGAGGAGGAAAACAGCCATTAGAAGCTGAAAAAGGCAAAGAAACAGAATCTCCTCTGAACTCTGCAGAAGGAACCAGCCTTGTCAACATCTTGACTTTACACCAATAAACACTGATTTTAGGTTTCTGACCTCCAGAGCTATACAAGAATAAATTTGCATTGTTTTAAGCCTCCAAGTTTATGGTAATTTGTTACATAGCAATAGGAAACTAAGACAGATGGCTAAAGGGCGGGGCTGTCATGAACAGAGTTAGGAAAGTTAGGAGTTAATTTAGAAAAAAGATATTTCATGTTCAGACTCACTAACTTTGACAGATCAGCATGAGAATCAGATGGAATATCCACTAGGCAGTTGGAAATGTGAAAATGATGCTCAGGCCAGAAAGAAGTCAGAGCTGGTGAATACAGATTTAGAAACAACATGCACTGAAGCAGTGGTCTAAGTTTGGGGTGACAAATGATAAAGAGAAACATACTAAAAAAGAACAGAGAAGAATCAGGGAACAAAACACGAGGACTCCCACATTCAACAAGTGACAATACAATGGAAAGGAGCCATTGAAGATAAAGGAGGACATCTGAATAATGACATAGAGGGAAGCCTAAGAAAGAAGGCAGAGTGAAAACAAGCAGGCTGTAGGAAAGTATATATATTATGATCCAAGTTTCAAAAAAGGGAACAATCTACACACACGTGTATATTTACACACATACACATGTACTGACATGTTTATATACATAGATAAAAGGTCTGGAAGTATTTTAATCAAATTATTAACAGTAGTTAACTGAGGAGTAAGACAGTAATAATTTTAGGGGGTGAACCTCCTTTTTCCATTTTATACATTTTAATATTGCAAACATTTTTTACAAAAGTACCACTTTTATAACTTTTAAAAATTGTTCATCTTTCGAAGGGGGCAAGAAAAGCCAATGAAAAAGATACAGAAAGAGCAGCTAGGAAGAAAATCAGGACAGTGGTGCTTCATAGAAACCTAGAGAGGAAAGAATTTCAAGAAGAAATCAGCAGAGCATGCCCAACTGCTGCATACTGAAATCTACAACTATCCAAAAGATCTCTCAACTCAGCCATGAAGAGATCACTGTTGATCTTTTGTCAGGGGACAAAGGGTGCAAAATGAACTGCAATGGGTTAAAAATGGATAAGAGGGGTTCAGCTTCCAGTAATGGAGGAGTAGTAGCTCCTCCTTTTAGACAGACCCTCCTATAAATAACAACTGTAAATTCTGGTGGGGGGGTGGGCAGGAGACCTACCAGAAGGCACTGGAGAGCAACCAAAGCAGTCAGAAAATATAGAGGTTGGGCTGGGCACGGTGGCTCACGCCTGTAATCCTAGCACCCTGGGAGAGCGAGGTGGGAGGATTGCTTGAGCTCAGGAGTTCAAGACCAGTCTGAGCAAGACCCCCTCTGTAATTTAAAAAAAAAAAAAAAAGGAAAGAAAGAAACATCAGCAAGGCATTGTGCCAAGCACCTATAGTCCCAGCTACTCTGGAGGCTGAGGCAGGAGGATCACTTGAGCCCAATGAGCTATTAGAGAAATAAAAATAGAAAAAGATGAACCACAGCAACAATAAGCATGTGAAGGTGGGAATGCGTATATCAGTATCAGATAAAGTAAACTTTGAAGCAAAAGGGCATTACCAAAGATAAAAAGAGACATTTCATAATGATAAAAGGAGCATTTTCTCAGGAAGACAAAAGATCATAAATGACTATCTACCCAGTAAGAGAGCTTTAAAATACATGAAGCAAAGTTTCGCAGGATTAAAGGGAGAAGCAGACAAATCCACAATAAGTAGAGTTTAACAACTCCCCTCTTAGCAATTGATAAAATGTGTAGACAAAAATAATCAATAAAGACAAAGATGATCTGAATGACAATATCAACTACCTTGATCTAACTGACATCTATAGACCACTACTCCCATTAAAATCCTACAGAGTATGTTCTCTGACCACAATGAAATTAAACTAAAATTTGGTAACAAGAAAACATTTGTGAAAATCCCAAATGTTTTTAAATTAAACAGTGAATCAAAGAGAAATCACATATCTGAAACACGGACTTGGGGGTGGGGAACTAAGGGCAACACACGTAACCTAAACATCTGTACCACGGGGAGGGCGGCGGGAGGAGGGGGGAGGAGGGAGGAGGGGAACGGGTATTTGTATACACAAGGAGTGCAATGCGCACTACCTGAAGGATGGACATATTTGAAACATGGACTTCGGTGGGGGGGAAACCAAGGGCAACACACGTAACCTAAACGTATGTACACCCATAATTTGCTGAAATAAAAAAAACATAAAAAAATAAAAAAAATAAAAAAAAAAAGAGAAATCACAAATCACCTTAGAAAAATTTAAAAATTCAATGAAAGTGAAAATAAAATACATCAGAAATTATGGGATGCAGGTCAAGTAGTGTTTAGAGGAAATTTTATATCTTTAAATACTTGTATTACAAAAAAGAAGGGGTCTATAATAAATGACCTAGGCCTTGACCCAGAGTAGCTACAAAAAGGACCCCAAGTAACTATAAGGAAGAAAATGATAATAGAGCAGAAATAAGCAAACAAACAAACAATAGAAAAAAGCAAAAGTTGGTTCTTTAAAAAGATCAAGAAAATTGATAAATCTCTAGTCAGAATGATCCAGAAAAGGGGGGGAAGGTGCAGGTGCAGAATACAAATTACCAGTATCAGGAATGAAAGAGGGCATATCACTATGTATCTTACAAACATTAAATGAATAATAAGAAAATATGATAAACAACTTTAGGCCAAGAAATTCAACAACTTACATGAAATGAACAAAGTTTTTGAAAACTACAACTTATCAAAACTGACACAAGATGAAAAGTAAAATCTGAATAGTTCACTATATACAGCTTTCTAAACTCCAGGTTCCAAGTCCTCCAATTTATCCTGCATGCCACCGCTTTACTCATCTGCCTTAAATACCTAATCTATCTTCCCACTCCTACATTTCAAAAATCTTTAGAAGGTCCTGTTCACTAGCACATCCCTTGCCTAGTTTTCATACTAATCTACCACCCTCTAGCACATTCCTGAAGGCAATCACGCCACCATCCCTCAGATATGCCAACCTACTGCATCTCATACCTCCTTTCACATGTGTCTTGCCATCAATGCCATCCCATTCCTGGACAAATCTCACCTATTCTTCAAGGTCCACTTGGGTCTAATCGGCAAGAAACTTTCCTCACTATTTCCAGTTAGTCAGAGTCTCCCTTCTAAAAATTCCATGGTGACATGACATTATTAACATTGTCTTGTAGGAAAGCCACTATTATCCTATGTATTAGTCTTATTTTTCCAACTAAACTATAAGCTCTTTGAGATCAAGGATTTTTTTTAACTTCTGTATCCCTGAAAGCAACTATTCCAAGATTAAGCACATAATAAGGATTCGATAAATACTTGTAATCTGTTAAATGAATACATAAAGTTAAGAGCTTTTTTCTACAGTTCTTGCCAGACTCTCTAGACTTTCATTCTGATCTCAATACCATCTTCAGAACCATCTCTAGGAATCTGCAAGAGTTTCTGTAACAACTATTCAAGAAACATTTGATTAAAATAACCAGAGGTAGGGAGGAGGGAAGAGTAGTGCTAAAATTAAATAAATAGAGATGAGGATACCTTGGTTTGGTAGGTTACATAGGAAAAAGGGGCTGAGTTTTACTTTCTACTGCTACTAAAATCTGACAAGCATACACTAATACTTCCAAACTCATCTGTATCTTTCATTGATTACGTACCCACATCTGCTCGGATATAGAGATAAAACAACAACAATATCTTCTAAAAAGTAGCCAGTTACCAATTACTTATTGTTTCTTACCACTACATATAAACTCTCCAAATGTTAAATATTTTAACTGTAGCCACGTACTATCAAAACAGTGACTGCAAATCTATCTTACTGAAATAGATCTTTCAAAACATAATTTTTGCATTTATACTAAAACTAGCAATATTATTTGTGAATACACATTATTTTGAGGAAAAAATGCATTTCCTCTGGGGTTAATTCACCAAGTAAAGAAATCCCTGTAAGCAAAAAATCCTCTCAAATTCCCAGCCACTGATTATTTTCTAGCTCCTTCTCTCTCATTTAAACCAAACATAGCTTTACAGAATCATTTCATTCTCCTTCTCTCTAATTAGACAAATCTGGTTGCTCTTCTCTCTAGACAGATTAAAAGGTTGGGTGTTTTGTTTTTCTAGTATTTCAGAATTCTAATCCTTAGGGCACTATGATGACTCATGTGATTTAGAGCAGGTAGGCTCCAAGGAAATATGTCTGAAGGAAAGATACAACATATACAATAAGGAGATTCTTTTGAATGTAAGCACACAGATTGGTAAAAGATGGTGGCCTACTCCAGCTATTTTCAGCTCATGGCATTGACCTGGTATCTTGCAAGCAATCTTGTCCTTACCCAGATTGGAGGACGCTCGCCCCTCTGCAGCCCGGTCCTTGAGATCCTCAGCAATGCCCAGCTGCTGCTCATGGTACTGTTTAGCCCTCTCCAAATCCTGCATGCACCTGGCAGCATGGCCTAGGCCAGCATAGGCCCGCATCTCAATGGCCTTCTCCATCAGCTCCTGTGCCAGCTCTAGCACGTAGTTGTGGTATGACATGGCCTTGTCAAAGTTCCTCCGGTAATGATAAGCACTACCCAGGTTGCTGTAGGCCCGGGCCTCTTCTCGCTTGTTCCCCAGGTGCTTCGCTATCTTCAGATGCTGCTCGTGGCACTGCACAGCATTCTCAAAGTCACCCATAGCAATATACACAGCTCCCATGTTGCCAAGTTCTCGGGCTTCAGAAAGTTCGTCTTTGGATTGCTTGGCGAGAAGAACACACTGTTTGTGACTGGCCAGAGCATTGGGGTAGTCTCCAATGGCTGTGTACACGTGGCCCAGACTGCTCAACGCTGATGAAGCTGCCTGGAGAGAAAGGATAAGGCAGAAAAATGAAAATACATCAGAAAATAGCTTTGGTATGTTTCAGCAGATAAAATTTTACCGTTTGCCTGCTACTATCCAATCTAATTCCTAATGGTGTTTCTATCGGTTTTCCACAGACCTATGCAGAACTGATAAAGAGCATATCCAAACAATTCCTAATAAAAGAAAATGGCAGTTTAATCAGTAACTTTCCATAGCTAATCTCACAGAAATAAGCTGTATTCCATATAATCTTCATTTCAGTTTAAAGACTCATTGACATTTTAATATTAATTATGATATTATATCTCTGTTAATACCTATTAATCTCTGTGGTATAAGAAAATGTTGAAGAAAATCAAAATTAATTACTACATATAATAGACCATAGGAAAATCACAAGAGAAATCCATGCTTGGCTCTTTGCACTCCCGGGCATTTCTCTATTCTTGTCTTCTTCCAAAGCAGATGGCTACATTAACGGTAAGGGAGATGTTTACCATGATGACTGATGATTTTGTGACCCAGGATTCAGTGGAGGGTCCTGGTCTCTCTGTTCTTTCAATGTAACTTTATCAGTGCTGGTTACTGTAGAGGGCTTAGATTTGGATGAGTCTCAGATGAAAACAAGGGGTGGGTTATAATCTCTGTACCTCTGGATGGGGTGGTCCCCCTTCTCAGGCTCACAATGGCTCTTCAAGTTTTTCTTTTCATGCGTAGAGTTTTTTTAACCTTAGCCTCTCCCTGCAGAGAGGTGGTATCTTCCTAGCTCCTCACATTGCTTGCCAGTCAGTTATTTTTTGTCCAAAGAAAAATACACAAACCCTTTTTCTCTTAAAGGTTTTAAGGAAAATGTCTCTACGTTGGTATAGCGAACCACACAGGGACAACAAAAATAACAAAAGATGTTACATGGTTCCTAGAGTCTTTTTTTTGAGACAGAGTCTCTCTCTGTTGCCCTGGCTAGAGTGCCGTGGCATCAGCCTAGCTCACAGCAACCTCAAATTCCCGGGCTCAAACAATCCTCCTGCCTCAGCCTCCCAAGGAGCTGGGACTACAGGCATGCTCCACCATGCCTGGCTAATTTTTTTCTACATATATTTTTAGTTGTCTGGCTAATTTCTTTCTATTTTCAGTGGAGACAGGGTCTCGCTCTTGCTCAGGCTGATCTTGAACTCCTGACCTCGAGCTATCCTCCCGCCTCGGCCTCCCAGAGTGCTAGGATTACAGGCGTGAGCCACCCGCCCGGCCGGTTCCTACAGTCTTAACAAGTACATATAGTCTTAGATTCTAGTCTTCAGTTTCTAATTCCTTTGCAGAGATATAAAAGGGAAGTTATGCTGGGCTTCTTCTGACCTTCTTTTTATTCTAAAAGTTGGAAGCTCGCCTATCCTTTCCTTCTTTCATTACAAGCTGGTAGCTAGAGTCATGTAGCCCCCTTTCTTCATGGCATTCCCTCTTAGTAGCAGGAACATGTGATCCTGCCAGAACAAAGGGTGTCACAAGTAGGCAAGTAATCTTCCCAAGGGCCTGCGGGCTAGGGAATAACAATGAGGGGATGGTGTCCTCCTGGAGTAAGGGCATTTCTTTATGAGATGTGTTCCATGTCTGTGCACTTCAGAACACTTTTATTAATATTTTATAGATATGAATGATTTGCTATCCTATTTTCTTTGTCTGGGAAATAGAAGTTCTTGATCAAAATGACTGAGACCTTTTTTGTAATGGTGCTTGCAAATAGTATGCTTGCAAAGTGTCCTATATTGCTTCAAGTTGCTTTTATCATTTCACAGATATTCCAACAAAAACATTTAGAAAATAGAGAGGAAATACATACTTAGAAATTTACTTTTTTGTTTTTTTTTGAGTGTTGGAGAGCAGAAACAATTCCCCGACAGTAACAATGCTGCCGCAGTGCGATTCTGGCAGAAGCAGCAGTGATGTCACCAAAGAGCATGCCATGTGGATGTATGCTAGCCTCAGGTTCCCACTTTGAGAGCTTCTTTGAGACTGAGGCTAGGACTCCATGTCAACACATTGTACATGGACCTTTCTACCGCTCACACCCCCATCGGTCCCCTACCTCAACAATCTTCTTTTCCTCCCTTGCTGTGGGCCCAGAGACTCATCCTCTTTCCTCTACTTCAGTAGCTGGCCTCCCCACCTTATGCTTTGGGGTTCTTCTCTACCCAAGCCTGCCCAAACAGTCTACAACCCCCACCCCACCCCCTCACAAAGCTTTGTTGCCCTCAAAGGAAAACATACAGGCTCTTTCACTATGGAGCTAGCATAGCTTAGAATTGACACACTTGGTTCAGAACTGCTCTGCCCTTTACTAGCTCCAGGATCTTTAGCAACTTAACTTCTCCGAGCCACAGTTTTCCAGACAGACATTTCTAGGCCCAAGCAGCAAGCCAGAAACTGAATGTTTTCAAACCCAGTCATGAGGCCCTGTCAAATGTGTAAACCATAAATAATTCACTGGATAATTCCAAATAGTAGATCTGATTGGAGGCAATGAGCCCTTGAACACTGCAGGGGATAGATTTATAAGGCTCCAGGCAGGCACAACGCCCCAGGCGTCACTGTTCTCAGGAACTTCTGGTTTATGGCAACTCCAAATGATAGCCCTGGGATCTTCTGCTTCTGGTTCTTCATTTCTCCAAATGCCAGGGAGACACAGGAGCTCATTTACTGAAGCTCTCTGAACATAAGGAAAGGGAATATTTGGGCATTTCCCCTCTGGGATGTGGAGGAAAGAGGGAAGGACTACTACATTAGCTTTGCCTGGCATCCTCCAGTTACCAGGCAGTGCTGTCAGGCTGGGACTCCTCATGGTGGGTGTCCTGGAAGTAAGCATTTCTACAAAGGCTGGTATAATTTATGAAGCACATATCATAGCCTCTGAAATTAGAAAGGCAGCTTTACATAGTATAAAAGTGGATCAGGATTGAGAGTCAGAGGCTGTGGTTATATAACCCTAATTAAAGTCATTGTACTTCTTCACTCATGTTTTCTTTATTTATAAAACGGTGCTAATAGCAATATTATACATACTTCATAGGGCTGGGATAGGTCAGATGAACTAGTGCATGTGAATGCCTTTACTAAACTGTAAAGTGCTCTGTGAATGCATCACTAACGTGTGGATGGATGTTTTATGACAGCAAGCTGGCTGAGCTGAGCTCTGTTACCAAGCAGAAGCTAGTAATGGCAACTGAAAACATCAATCGTTATGACCAAACATCTATATTCCTATCAGTTGCCACAGGAAATAAAGTACAGTGTTTTACAGCCCCTGGGCAAATAACATGTGATGATATTTATCAGCTAAGTGAATTACAAATTAATCACTTGTCTTTGTTCCTGTTCCTGTAGAATAAGCTTAGATCTGAAACATGGTTTCAGGCTGTTAATGAGGATCTGAAGACCCACTATCTATGGGGAATCACAGGCCCCACCTCAAGCAGATGCTGCATTTGCCACGAAGGTTCATGCTGCCTTTGTATATTAATCTCTTTGAGATTTTTGTGCTAGAATAGCAGCAGCTGCTTCCCACAGTGGAAACATTTTGGAACATCTGTATTTGAATGCTAAAATGCACACAAACAGTTATGCTAACAAACTATCTGGCTGGAATAAAACAACACTTTCCTCTTTTTATAAGATATAAATTACTCATGACCTTGCCAAAGCATAATTTCCAGCTGCAGACTTAGGCACATAGGAGTCAGTCACCCTTTACTCTGGGACCTGAATATTTACAAAAGAATTGCATCTGACAAGTTAGTTTCACCGGACATGAAGCCAGAGCAAGACATTTGCTCATATTTCTTCAAACTACCTTTAAGGGTTTTTAGTTTGAAAAATAAAGTTAACCTACCCAAACTATAACCACAGTGATGACACTACCATTAAATATTATGCTGAAGATTTAAACATGTTTTCCTCCCATCTAGCATGTTTTTTCCCTTACTGTATGTATTTTTCACAAGAGTTATATTTTGTGGGAGGACTACATGCACAGTGTAATACAGTGTTATATAGAGAATTTTCAACATAATTGCTGATTGATTCATAGCATGTTGTTGGAAAAATGGGAAATGTACCTGCAGCTAGTACCAGAAATATTGATTTTCTTTTTTACTGCTCAAATCCACATGCACCATGTATTCCCTGCCAGTTCCACACCCATAAACCCAAGGTCCTAGATCAACCACCCACAACCCAACAGGTAGAGAGACAGAAGAATATGGATACACTCTGGAACCAGACACGCATGGGTTCAAATGACACAATGTGTGATAATGTACGTTATGTAACATCTTTGAGCCTTCTTTGCCGCTTCTGTAAAATGGGAATATTAATATCCTACATGAATACTAAACAATATAGTGCTTATAATCACTGTGGCTCAGGACTTAGCACATGGAAAATGCTCAAAAATTTTAGATTTTAGTGTCTCTCCCTAACCCAACCAAGATAACACTGACATAGCTTTATTCATTTCAGAGATATGGCAGAAGATGACCAGAAAATAGATCATGAAGTTATGTCACCACAACTGAAAAGACAACACAAGAAGCCTGCCTCACTGATGGTGAGGTATCTTCATACACTGAAGACCAGAGTATTACTCCTCTTCCTCTTCTGCAAATACATGCATGAGAAAATTCACCCTTTACTTAGAGATATTTTAGAATCATTGGTATATCCAGTACATAGTATTGGTAAAGGTACTTTATTTCAAGTGGTCAAAGCTTACATCAACATTGGAGTGTTCTGGGTCTATTGGTTGGTTGGTTCATTTGCTCATTCATTCATGCATTCAGGAAAATTCTCTAAGCCCAGAAATAAATTCACACACCTACAGCCAAATGATTTTTGACTGAGTTGCCAAGAACATATATTGAGGAAAAGACAGTCTCTTCAACAAACAGTGCTGGGAAAATTAGATATCCACATGCAGAAGGATGAGACTAGACCCCTACCTCTCACAT